GAGGCCAAAGCAGGAGGATTACTTGAGCCCAGGAGCTCAAGACCAGTCTGGACAACATAGTGAGAGACATCCGTCTCTAAAAAAAAAAAAAAAAAAAAAGAAAAGAAAAACAGAGCCAGGTAGCTACTGTGAAGACAGCACACTTAGGAATCCTGGGATGTTAGTGTTAAAAGAAAGCTCCTAGAGCCAGTGATTCTCAAGTTTGTCCCAGAACCCTTTTTTCTAAACCCCATATAAAAGGTAGATTAAAAAAACAAAGTAGCATGAGTAAAATTAAGAGAGGGACAGGCAACGCCTTCCAGCCCCTAACTTCTAAAGGTCTGGAAGCACAACCAGAAAATCATGTAGCCCAACCCTATCATTTTCACATTATGAAACTGAGTCCGGATAAGTGAATCTGTCCAAGGTCACCCAACAAGATATCAGTAGCCCTGAGGGTAAGGACTCTGATAAGGCACGGGAGGGTCCTGGAAAGCCTGAGGCAGGAGGAAAAGTGTGCAGAGTTGAGCGTATCTGGAAGGCTGATCCACTGCTGGGTCTACATCAAGGCCCCATGGGGAACAGACCCGGCTGCACATGGCTCTTTTGCTGGAAGAAGAGCATGGCTGTGCAGAGGACTAGAATTTCATCTGGGAAGGCTTCTTTGGACTGTCAGTAGCAGGATTTCACCAAATGAGGGTGCTATGGGACCACAGTTGTCTCTTGTTCCCATGCAACTCAACCCTGCAGGAGGCCTCCCACATCCCTGAGAGCCTTCTGGACCCTATAGAGGAGATATTCTCGGGTAGGCCAGCCAAACGGAGAGGAGAGAGTGGCCAGGATACGACCTGGAGTAGGGAAGGGAAAAAGTTCCCAGAAAGAAGAGAATTGGATGAGAGGTCTCAGTGGAAATAAAGGTTTTCTGGCATTGGTCAAGGAAACCCACGTTGTGTTCCTCTTACCTGTGTTGTCCCTTAGCCGAGTTAGTTGATTTGGGCTATGAAGAACCACACACATCTGAAAAGTTCTGTTACAGCCACTGTCTCGTGTCCCTAAACATTCTCTGGACCTAAATCTAGCCTGTGTATTGTGTCAAGCACGTGGAGACGTGAGATATGAAACGAGGTCCTGTCCCCGTGGAACTCACACGCTAAATGTAAGCAAATCATGGCAAGCCTGGAGATGCTCCAAGAGGTGCTGGAGGAGTTGGAGCAATTCCCTCCACTTAGGGAATCAGGTAAGGCCTCACAAAGATGGCAATGTTTGACCTACGACCTCGGAAGATGAGTCCTCAGATGGGAAGGGCTCAATAAGCAGAGATGTCACAGGCAGCAGCCTGGCAGGAGCAAAGCCACAGAGGACACGTGGCCCCAGTGGGTCTGAGAAACCCAGAGGACATTGGGGTGAGGGAGTGATGGGTGTAGAAGCTGGAAGATCAGAGTTACATTGTGAATTTCAGGGGCCCTAGGCACTTTCGCCTTCACGGGGCTCTTGCTCCATTCAAAAAAAAATTAATGTTATGACTATGTTGGTATAAAGATGAATGTAATCCAGGTTGATTGTATTTTCTTTATTTACTCTGGTTTTAAAAGAAGCTAAAACATTGCTATGGGCCCTGGGCACTGCACCTACTGTGCCTACTGGGTAACTCAGCCCTGCAGAAGAGTGGGTTGGGGCCCAACTGAGAGAGGCTTTGGTAGGTCCGGTAAGCCACAGGGAGTTATGGAGCCTAACCCTAGCCTTATTCTTGGTTGCATTAAACATCCAAACGTGGATCCCAGTATCCCTCATACTGTCTATGGTATCACCCAACAGCTCCCCAGGCCAGTCATATGATGTAGCCCAACCAAGGTGCCCAGCTGTGTCAAGAAGGTTCCACCTGCCCCCAAATAGCATAGCACTTCCTAGGCGCAGTCAGCCAAGAGTTACTCCCAGGGAGTGGGAGATGCAGCAGGAGGGAGACACAGGCTGTGCCCAGAGAGTAGGTCTGGGTTCAGGGATGAGGGGAGGACTAGGGAAGGGAGGTGGTGGAGAAGAGGGAGAAGTGTTGGGAAGGCTCAAGAAACTAGCTTCAGCCAGGCACCAATGGCTCACAACTGTAATCCCAGCACTTTGAGAAGCTGAGGCGGGCAGATCACTTGAGGTCAGGAGTTCAAGACCAGCCTGGCCAACATGGCGAAACCCAGCCTCCACTAAAAATACAAAAGTTAGCCAAACGTGGTGGCATGCACCTGTAATCCCAGCTACTTGGGAGGCTGAGGCACAAGAATCACTTGAGCCAGGGAGGCAGAGGTTGCAGTGAGCCGAGATTGCATTCTAGCCTGGGTGACCGAGTGAGACTCTGTCTCAAACAAACAAGAAACTAGCTTCTTCATGGCATTTTCCTTAGTCAAGCCTGGCCTGGCCGTAACAACACCCGTATTCTTCCTTAAAACCCACCCCTCTGACCATTCTCAGCTAACCTAAGGCCCCTACCTGTTAAAACCCTGCTGCTAGCCCTGTGTTACTATCTCCTGGCTCTAGGAGTCTCTCACTCTAGCATTAAAGAGCTAGGCCTCTCTGGGGATCCGCTTCCCACATGAGGAGTATTGGGGCCATTGCCACAAATAGCTAGATGTCCCAGAATTTATTCTTATTTTTAATTACCAAAGTAATACTATGCCAGCCTAACCAACATAGCAAAACCCCATCTTTACTAAAAATACAAAAATTAGCTGGGCGTGGTGGTGGGCACCTATAATTCCAACTACTCACGAGGTTGAGGCAGGAGAATCGCTTGAACCAGGGAGGTGGAGGTTGCAGTGAGCTGAGATTGCGCCATTGCACTTCAGCCTGCGCAACAGAGAGAGACTCTGTATTTAAAAAAAAAAAAAAAAGTAATACTGTGGAGTAAAGTCAAGTGATCTAGAAAAGTCAGGTTTAAAAAGGTGAAATTTGCTACTTGGGAGGCTCAGGTGGGAGGATCGCTGGAGCCCAGAAGGTCAGGGCTGCAGTAAGTTGTGATTGTGCCATTGCACACCAGCCTGGGCGACAGAGACTCTGTCTCAAAAAAATGGTAAAGCTGCATAGTATTCCATAGCAGGGTTAAACCTTTTTTTCAGTCTTTATTCAGTCTTCCTCTACTGATAAATACTTAGTTTTTTTCCAATTTTGCAACAAGCTTTGTGACAAACTATACTATAACCCACAACCTTGAACATTTATTTTTGTGCCTGTTTCGTTTTGAGACTGGGTCTTGTTCTGTCACCCAGGCTGGAGTGCAGTGACACAATCATGGCTCACTGCAGCCTCGATCTCCCATGCTCAAGGGATCCTCCCGCCTCAGCCTCCCAAGTAATGGGACTACAGGCATGTGCCACCATGTTTTTTTCATGTTTTGTAGAGACAAGTTCTCATTATGTTGCCCAGACTGGTATCAAACTTCTGGCCTCAAGCAGTCTTCCCGCCTTGGCTTCCCAAAGTGCTAAGATTACAAACATGAGCCACCATGCCTGACCAGAGTTTATCTCAAAAGAATTCATTCCTAGAATCGGTATGCAACGTCAGAAGAAATGCAGTGTCTCAAAATTTAAGTCATTGTCTGGCCAGGTGGATGGCTCATGCCTGTAATCCCAGTACTTTGGGAGGCTGAGGTGGGTGAATCACTCGAGCTCAGGAGTTAGAGACTAGCCTGGGCAACATGGTGAAACCTCGTCTCTACAAAAAATACAAATATTAGCCGGGCATGGTGGCTGGCACCTGTAGTCCCAGCTACTCGAGGGACTGAGATGGGAGGATCGCTTGAGCCCAGAAGGCAGAGGTTGCAGTGAGTTGAGATTATGCCACTGTACTCTAGCATGGGCAACAGAATGAGACCCTGTCTTAAAAAAAAGAAAAAATTTAAGCCATTGTCTAGGCCTAACCCTAAGAGTAATAATTTTTTTTTTCTTTTTCTTTTTTTTTAGATGGAGTCTTGTTCTGTCACCCAGGCTGGAGTGCAGTGGCACAATCTTGGCTCACTCCAACCTCCACCTTCAGGGTTCAAGCAATTCTCCCTGCCTCAGCTTCTTCCCAAGGAGCTGGGATTACAGCTCCCAAGTACAGGGATTACACCACCATGCCCGGCTAATTTTTGTATTTTTAGTAGAGACAGGATTTCGCCATGTTGGCCAGGCTGGTCTGGAACTCCTGACCTCAGGTGATCCGGTCCTGCTGTGATGTCAAGAGGTAACCTTCAGGAGGCCCTCAAGCCTCCTCTTGGACTCCTCATCCTGGGTCTAGAAGCCAGAGGAAGCAGGGAAGTGGGGGGAGAATGACAAAAGAGGCCTTGGGTTCCCTAGCACAGCTCACCCCTCTTCCCTGAGGTTCACTTTGTGCCAGATGCTGAAGGGCAGGCTGGAGAGCAAGCTCTTCAGGTTATCTGAGCAACAAAGTGCAACCACCCTGAACAGCTCAAGACCCTGAAAAGGTGACTGTGCAGATTCCTTCAACCCAGGCCTCTCCCACCCCTGCAGCCATGAAACTTGGATTCTGGAGTGTTCAGGCAACAAAAGCCCTGGGTGGGCAGGTGATGGTCCTGCTTCTGTCTAGCTTTCTGGCTTCTCCCTGCCTAATTCCAAACCCTGTGCGTTGCTACCATGACTGCTGCACCCAGCTACCAGTCCTCTGCTCTGGAGCCTGCAGTGGCTCTGATCATTTTGTGGCCAACCCAAGGGTCCTCTGCCCACCTCAAGGCACATTGCAACTCCTTTCTCTCTCCTTTTATTTATTTATTTATTTTTTTTTTGAGACAGAGTCTTGCTCTGTCTCCAGGCTGGAGTGCAGCAACCTCCGCCTCCCGGGTTCAAGTGATTCTCCTGCCTCAGCCTTCTGAGCAGCTGGGAGTACAGAAGTGCGCTACCATGCCCAGCTAATTTTTGTATTTTTATTTGTTTTTTTCTGTTTTTTTTTTTTTTTTGAGACGGTGTCTCGCTCTGTCGCCCATGCTGGAGTGCAGTGGCATGATCTCAGCTCACCGCAAGCTCTGCCTCCCAGGCTCACGCCATCCTCCTGCCTCCGCCTCCCGAGTAGCTGGGACTACAGGTGCCCACCACCACACCCCGCTATTTGTTTGTAATTTTTTAGTACAGGCGGGGTTTCACCGTGTTAGCCAGGGTAGTCTCGATCTCCTGACCTCGTGATCCGCCCACCTCGGCCTCCCAAAGTGCTGGGACTACAGGCGCCCACCACCACACCCGGCTAATTTTTTGCAATTTTTTAGTACAGGCAGGGTTTCACCGTGTTAGCCAGGGTGGTCTCGATCTCCTGACCTCATGATCCGCCCACCTTGGCCTCCCAAAGTGCTGGGATTACAGGCGTGAGCCACTGCGCCCGGCCAATTTTTGTATTTTTAGTAGAGATGGGGTTTCACCATGTTGGCCAGGATGGTCTCGATCTCTTGACCTTGTGATCTGCCTCTCTCAGCCTCCCAAAGTGCTGGGATTACAGGCGTGAGCCACTGCGCCCGGCTGCAACTCCTTTTTCTTTCTTTTACAAACTGTGACAAAGCCTTTCATCTCTTGCAGGAACCTCGGCTCCTCCCCTCGTTCTCCCTCTGCTCTTCACCCTCCATCTACCCTCATAGCCCTCAGACTGTCTTCACATCCCGAGGATCCCCTCCTCTACCCTGCCCCACATTCTCCTCTGGGAGCCCCTTCTTGGCTCTCCATCTGAAAGGGCCCAAGCCTGTTTCTCAGTACTTTCCTCCCCCAGAATTCTCTCCACTGCATCTACTTGGCTTTTGTGTCTGCATTTACACCTATGCCTGCATCCTGGGGGCATGTGCCATCTCCCTCTTTGGGCAGAGAGAGTTGCTGTGTCTTCCTCGCCCTTGCTAACCACTGCCCCCTCCTCCACTATCCCCCGGCCTCCAGCTGCTAGTGGACGGGGCAAGTCTCTGCAATCACGGTGCCACTGAGGACAATGAGGGAGTGATGGATGATGAGGGGTGCTCCCTTAGGAAAAAACCAGCCCTGGTTCTCCATCTTATTTCTGAAAAAGAGTTTGTTGGCTGCTTTTCAATTAAAAGCAGATGATTAATTCAGCTCTGGCCTTGTTCTGTCTTTGAATAACAGATACATTAGTTTACTTGAAAAGAAATACTTTCATTTGTATTTCCATGTCACCTGTGATTTTCCCTGCCTTGCACCCTCAGCCCTGCCAGTTGGCAAGAAGACGGTCAGCAAAGCTGCTGCTAAGAGGAGTATAAAGAGGGCTTGGTCCAAGCAAAAGGGCAGTGGTCTAGTCCATCGGCAACATGCTGCGCTTCCTGGTGTTCGCAACCCTGGTCCTTTATGGTAAGTGGATCATGTGGCCTGAGGTCTACAGGGAGGGGGACTTGGGCAGGAGGGTCAGCAAATCTTCCCTAAGCCCAGGCCAGCACCCTGTCCCAGGACAGGTGGGACGCTCTGCCTGCAGAGTGTCCTTTACTCTCCTGGAGGCCAAGATAGAAAAGATCAGGGCCACTGGCTATTCAGGCCCCTCTGGGTGGCAGGTCCCTGGGCCACAAAGCAGAGAGAAGCCTTTTCTGGTAGTGGGGTGGGTCCCTGGGCTTCCCCACCACCCCCATTGACAGGAGGACTTCCTCAGCAGGTACCTGGCTGGGGTGTGCACTGCAGGCCCTGCACCCTGGAGAATCCTGCCAAAGCATTAGGGGGCTGGGGGGGGGTCAAAGAATGGGGGGGTCTCTTCAGGCCAAAGGGTGATCTTGAGCAAGGAGGAGACCACAAGGAGCCTCTGGGGCCTAGTCTGGTGGTTTCAGAGAGGTCCTTCATAGCATGCCAGAGTTCTGGGAACACCCGGGGGAAACAGAAGGCACCCAGGCACCCCTGCTTTCAAAAGGGACTCAGAGAACTCACAGCTGGGCCCCTCATTTATTAGAGAGGAGCTGTGAATTTGCAGACAAGGCCAACATTCCTCAAAACACAACCGCCACCCCCCACCCCTACCCCTGGCTGACCCCACGCTTAGTCATCACTCACTTTTCTTCTGCCCCACAAAGGACACAGCACCCAGGACTTTCCAGAAACCAACGCCCGCGTAGTGGGAGGGACTGAGGCCAGGAGGAATTCATGGCCCTCTCAGGTGGGTGTTCCTTCCCAGCCCCAGACTTCCACCCAAATAAGAGCGCAGCGCATGACATAAGGTGTGTGTGTTTGTGCATGTCCCTATCAACAAGCAGCTCTCCAACTGTTTAGGTTCTAGATTTTAAAGATGGATGGGATCAGGCTTAGGTGGTTTTCTAAATGCAAAAGGGCTTGGAGGAGGGTATTTATACACAAACCACACTCCCTCTTCAAGGCACACACCCAAACACAAGATACATTTGTATTCCCAGTGACAGCACTTGTGCCATGCAAGAAAGACTGGGTGCCAGACACACACCTTGGACTCCACATACCTTGAAACACATGCACACCACTCCACACTGCCACACTGTGTGTGTCACAATGCTTGCACGTGTGCACACACACACGTACAGCATGCGACTTAGTTGGCTTTTAGAGTTTCCACTTTCCTAACAGGGCAGCTGGGCCCTGATTTAAGCAATCTAAACATGTAAACCTGGCAAATTAAGTGGCGAAGATCCACACTTTGAAAGGATATCACTGCAACCAGAGTTTCAGCTTATAAAAGTCTGAGCCCCAGTTTTCAGGAGTAGAGCTATTACATAATATGAGGTGCTAGAAGAAGAGATATGAACTGATAAAAATGAACATCCCATTGGTATTTCTTTCTTTTGTTTTTCTTTGAGATGGAGTTTTGCTCTCATTGCCCAGGCTAGAGTGCAATGGCATGATCTCAGTTCACTGCAACCTCTGCCTTCTGGGTTCAAGCAATTCTCCTGCATCAGCCTCCCGAGTAGCTGGGATTACAGGCGCCTGTCACCATGCCCAGCTAATTTTTGTATTTTTAGTAGAGACGGGGTTTCACCATGTTGGCCAGCTGGTCTCAAACTCCTGACCTCACGTGATCCGCCCGCCTCAGCCTCCCAAAGTGCTGGGATTACAGGCGTGAGCCACCGCGCCTGGCCTCCCATTGGTATTTCTAAGTAGTCCCTGAAGTGGGGATTCAGGAGATGTCTTGAACACACTGAAGGTAGAGCTCTGGAGACCTAAGCCTGTGGGGCTTAGGTGATAGAGCAAATCTTTGGCTATAGTTTTTTTTTTTTTTTTTTTTTTGGTGGGGGGAGCAAGGGGGCAGATGGGGTCTCGCTCTGTCACCAGGCTGGAGTGCAGTGGCGCGATATTGGCTCACTGCAACCTCCACCTCCTGGGTTCAAGCGACTCTCCTGCCTCAGCCTCCTGAGTATCTGGGACTACAGGCGCGTGCCACCATGCCCGACGAATTTTTGCATTTTTAGTAGAGATGGGGTTTCACCATGTTGGCCAGGATGGCCTCGATCTCCTGTCCTCGTGATCCACCCACCTTGGCCTCCCAAAGTGCTGGGATTACAGGCGTAAGCCATGGTGCCCGGCCTATAGTTCCTCTTTAAGGGAGAACAGAGGTAGAAGGAGTTCCAAAAAAGGAGTTGCAATAGGTTCTAGGTCCATTGCAACAACCTAGAGAGATAATGCCAAATACACTGTGTGCCTTTACTCCTCATTCATGTACACAGCAAACATCACCAAATGATGGAGCATCCCTTCCTGCTGACCCCAGAAGCATCTACATACCCCTTATCAATGCCACACTCCAGGTGGCCACTACCAACCAATTAGTAGTAATTGGCAGGTCAGATGAAACCTATTTGCCATCCCTAGCCCAGAAAGAGAATGTTCTGAAGGACAGCAGGACTTTAAGGAGGTGACATGTAGTTTAAGGCAAAGTCTTTTATATTTAATTATTTTTGATGTAGAGGTGAGATCTCACTATGTTGCCCAGGCTGGTCTCCAGCTCCTAGGCTCAATTGATCCTCCCGCCAAAGCCTTCCAAAGTGCTGGGATTACTGGCATAAGCCACTGCGTCCGACCTGGGGCAAAACCTTTTGAGAAACACCAACCTATCCCTTCTTTCTTTCCTCCCCATCTAGATTTCCCTCCAGTACCTGTCTGGAGGTTCCTGGTACCACACCTGCGGAGGGACCCTCATCAGACAGAACTGGGTGATGACAGCTGCTCACTGCGTGGATTCGTAAGAAAAACAAAGACGAGCTTTCCTGGGCCCCTGGAAGGGGAAGGGGCTGACCCTTCTGAAGGATAACATAACTCTGCCCTCTCTGGACAGCACTTCAGGGACTGGGCAGTGGCCCCTTTCCTGTTCAGGGCCTGCAGGGAGGTAGTACGGTGAAAGTACAAATTTTGGAGCCAGGGAAGCTCAAATTCAAATCTTGCTCCACTAAATTCTAGCTATGTAGCCTTGGGCAACTATGCTCCCATTCTCCTATCTCTAAAATGGGCTAAGAACATTTACTCTGTAGAAATGTTGTGAGGATTGAGTAAATATGTAAGTGCTTAGTCAACGTCTGACTGGTGACTATTTTTTCCTATTTGTCTTGGGCAATGGTTTTCATACTTCAGCATGTGTCAGAATCACCTGGAAGGCACACATTGCTGGGCCCCACCCAGCAGAGTTTCTGATTTGGTAGGTCCAGGGTGAGGCCTGATAATTTGCATTTCTAACAAGTTTCCAGGTGATGTTCATGCTACTGGCCCAGGAACCACACTTTAAAAATGACCAGCCTAGAAGTCTATGCTTCCTTCAAAATATTGGTGCCTGAGAGCCATTATTTCATTTATGTGCACTACACCTCTCCCAGGTTACAAGATATTCAGCCTATGATGTTAAACTCAGAAAATGAAAGTGATGGTAGTTTTTTTCACTTCCACAAGTTAGTCAATTAGGGAATGAAAGAGCTTGTTACTTTCTCATTTTGGAGAGTCTTATATCCCTCCTCTACCTGGACCAGGTGAGATGGGTTCCTGTCCTAAGATAAGAAACAAAACCTGGGCACAGTGGCTCACACCTGTAGTCCCAGCTACTAGGGAAGCTGCGGTGGGAGGATCACTTGAGCCTGGGAGATTGAAGCCAGCCTGGGCAACACAGCAAAACCCCATGTCTTAAAAAAAAAAAGAAATTTTCTTTAATAATAATTATAATAAAAGGATGGTTTTCCAACTTTTCTCTAAGTGGGAGAAAGAGAAGGTTTGAGTCCCCTGGATGACTCAAGACTTCCTTCTCTCACGCCAGCCCGAAGACTTTCCGCGTGGTGGTTGGAGACCATAACCTGAGCCAGAACGATGGCACCGAGCAGTACGTGAGTGTACAGAAGATCGTGGTGCATCCAAACTGGAACAGCAATAACGTGGCTGCCGGGTAGGAGCAAGTCCAAGCTGGCCCTGGGCTGGGCAATGAGGCCTGACTAGCCAACAACTGGCTGCCTTCACCTGTTCTTTCAGAGAGCTAGAGGGACTGCATGGCCTGAAGCCTGGACAATGACTCCTGGCCTGGCCTTTAGTTAAGGAGCCCAGCTGAGCCTGAGAGAGGGCACCATGTCCTAGAGGGAGCAATGAGCTGGCTCATTCATCCAGGAGGACTTTGAGAATTTACGTTCTGGGCCAGGCACGGTGGCTCATGCCTATAATCCCAACACTTTGGGATTCCCCCATTCTCAACTTCCCTGCCTTGCAAAGGTCAGCGCTAGGCTGCAATACCAATGTCCCACCAGCAGATGCTGCTGTTAAACATAGAATGTTTACCTGTTAAACTGTAATTGCTCTAGTTTGAGGCTTAGCAAGTGAGCCCCGTCCTTCTTCAAAATCGTCACTTTCCAATTGCACAAGGATACAAATGCTTAAAGAGGGCCAGTATATATGCTGACCTCAGGGAAGAGCTGATCCCATGAGTGATCAGTCTCCTTTTCTCCTGCAGCTATGACATCGCCCTGCTGCGCCTGGCCCAGAGCGTTACCCTCAATAGCTATGTCCAGCTGGGTGTTCTGCCCCAGGAGGGAGCCATCCTGGCTAACGACAGTCCCTGCTACATCACAGGCTGGGGCAGGACCAAGAGTAAGTTGCCTACATTGGCACAATCCACCACGGGGATCTTGATTACGTAGCTGAGCTTCTAAGGCACCTTTTTCTGTGGTCCTAGGTGCTTATGGCCAGAGACCAGGAGCTAAAGGAACCATAGATACAATAACTGATGCATTATATCAAGCTAAGTATGGGCTGTGAAATACTTGACAGATTCATGGACTCTTAGAACAAAAAAAGACTTTACCACAGATAATTTTTTTTGTTACCAGCCCCTCATTTTAAAAATTAATTTATGGCCAGGCGCGGTGGCTCACGCCTGTAATCCCAGCACTTTGGGAGGCTGAGGCGGGCAGATCACGAGGTCAGGAGATCGAGACCATCCTGGCTAACACGGTGAAACGCTGTCTCTACTAAAAATGCAAAAAATTAGCTGGGCGTGGTGGCGGGCGCCTGTAGTCCCAGCTACTTCGGAGGCTGAGGCAGGAGAATGGCGTGAACCCGGGAGGCGGAGCTTGCAGTGCGCCGAGATCGCACCACTGCACTCCAGCCTGGGCAACTGAGCGAGACTCCGTCAAAAAAAAAAAAAAAAAATTAATTAATTTATTTAGGGACAGGGTTTCGCTCTGTCACCCAGGCTGCAACCTCTACTTCCTAGGCTCAAGTGATCCTCCCACCTCAGCTGCAACCTCTACTTTCTAGGCTCAAGTGATCCTCCCACCTCAGCCTCCTGAGTAGCTGAGACTATAGGCATGTACCACCACACTCAGCTAATTTTTAAATTTTCTTGTAGAGATGGGATCTCACTATATTGCCTAGGCTGGCCTCAAACTCCTGAGCTTAAGAAATCCTCCCACCTCAGCCTCCCAAAGTGCTGGGATTACAGGCATGTGCCACTGCATCCAGCCAGCCCTTCATTTTATACATGAGGAAACCAAGGTCCAAAGAAATTAAGGATCCTTAGCTGAGCGTGGTGGCATGAGTCTGTAGTCCCAGGTACTCAGGAGGCTGAGGAAGGAGGATCACTTAAGCCTGACCAACATGGAGAAACCCCAACTCTACTAAAATTTCACAATTAGCCAGGCATGGTGGTGGATGCCTGTAATCCCAGCTACTCAGCAGGCTGAGGCAGGAGAATTGCCTGAATCTGGGAGGCAGAGGTTGTGTGAGCCGAGATTGCTCCATTGCACTCCAGCCTGGGCAACAAGAGTGAAACTCCATCTCAAAAAAGAAATGGAAACAAGCATGCACAATCCCAGTTCTGCTCCATGGAGCTTGCAGGAGGAAACGGAACAGACAGATAAATCATCCACAAATAAGGCCATTCCATGGTGCAACTAAGTTATCCACGAGTGGAAAGAGCAGGAGTAGGGTTGGTGACTTGGAGCCTAGGTACAGTAAGCAAGGCCGCCTCCCTGAGGGAAGGGTCCTGTGCAGCCATATAAAGAGAGAAGACAGAAGGATCCACCACACGCAACAGGCAGAGAGAAGGAGTTTGCCCTGAGTTCAGCTTTCACAAGAGTTTGGGAAGGTGTGGCAAGGGTGGAAGGTTTTTCCACTGGACAACATTTGGAGCTGACCGCCATTGCTATGTGTCCTGTTCAGCCAATGGGCAGCTGGCCCAGACCCTGCAGCAGGCTTATCTGCCCTCTGTGGACTACGCCATCTGCTCCAGCTCCTCCTACTGGGGCTCCACTGTGAAGAACACCATGGTGTGTGCTGGTGGAGATGGAGTTCACTCCGGATGCCAGGTGAACACTTGCAGGGGGTGTCAGAAGTCCCACCCCAGATCCCACCACTCTCTGCCTATCCCTCTACCCCTCTTTCTCACCTCCGTATTCCACACTTACTCTTAGTCCGACACAGACTCAATTTTCTACTCTGGCATCTAAGTGAGAATGATTCTGTGCTGGTAACTCTATACACACAGAAACTCAAAGTTGAAAGGAACCTTAAAATTGTATCTCGCTCAATGCCCTCACTTCAAAGTTTGTACGTGGCCCAACATTTGTATGTTGTTGTTGGTATATGTGTGTGTTCTTAGAATTTGTTTTTTTTATTTTTTTTTTTTTTTGTTTTTGTGAGACAGAGTCTCGCTCTGTCGCCCAGGCTGGAGTGCAGTGGCCGGATCTCGGCTCACTGCAAGCTCCGCCTCCCGGGTTCACACCATTCTCCTGCCTCAGCCTCCCAAGTAGCTGGGATTACAGGCATGCGCCACCACACGCAGCTAATTTTTTCTATTTTCAGTAGAGACAGGGTTTCTCCATGTTGGTTAGGTTGATCTCGAACTCCTGACTCAAGTGATCCGCCCGCCTTGGCCTCCCAAAGTGCTGGGATTACAGGCGTGAGCCACCACGCCCAGCTGAATTTGTTACCTAGATTTTTTAACGGAAGCGATGGAGCAAGCCTGGAGAGGTGGTTGTGATGGTGTATAAGCAGTACCCTGCCTCCCCTCACCCATCAGTCCAACTTCTCTTGCAGTTCCTCCACCACCGTCCCTTTACCCCAGTGATATTTCTGGTGGTATGTACAGGTGAGTTTGATAGGGGAAAGTGCACAAAATAATTTTATAATAGCTTATATATAACAAATATAACCTTCCTCTATTTTGACAAGATCAATCAGCCACAAACCATCTTACAGATTTCTCTTTTTAAGTTTTATCATTATTATTATTTTAAGATAGAGATGGGGTCTTGCTTTGTGGCCCAGGCTGGCCTCAGACTCCAGGGCTCAAGTGATCCTCTCACCTCGGCCTCCCAAAGTGCTGGGAATACAGGCATGAGCCACCATGCCCCACCCTAGATTTCTTAGTGCAGTTTAACAACTGTTCATTATGTATCTACTATAGGCCAGGCATTGTGCTAACTGCTGAGGATACAAAGATGGATCAAACAGTGTCAAGTAAAGGAACTAGAGGCACAGACACACAATAGAACATTGTAATACAGTGTGGTTAAGTGTTAATAATCAGGATGTGCATGGGTGATAGGGAAGCCCAAGGGTAGGTACTTACCTCTACCTACTGGGGCTAGAAAAGACCTGCCTTCCCCAAGAAAGTAGAATCTGTAGCTGGTCCTGAGGGGTAAACAGGAATAGGCCAGGCAAAAAGGAGAAAAGACATTCAGAGGGAGGGAACAGCATGAATAAAGGCAGGGGGCCAAGAAACAACCTAGAGTACATAGAGAATTATGGGGCATTCCCTAAGGCTACAGTAGAGCAGAGGCTGGAGGTCCACAAGCCAAATCTAGCTCATTGCTTGCTTTGTATGACCCATGAGCTTAGAACGGTTATTATATTTCTATTTATATATATATATATGTGTGTGTGTGTGTGTGTGTATATATATGTTTTTTTTTTTTCCTGAGATGGAGTCTCACTCTGTCACACAAGCTGGAGTACAGTGGCGCAATCTCAGCTCACTGAAACCTCTGCCTCCCGGGTTCAAGCAATTCTCCTGCCTCAGCCTCCTGAGTAGCTGGGATTACAGGCACGCACCACCACGTCCAGCTAATTTTTGTATTTTTAGTAGAGACAGGATTTCACCATGTTGGCCAGGCTGGTCTGAAACTGGCTGGTCTCGGACTCCTGACCTCGTGATCCACCTGCCTCTGCCCCCAAAGTGCTGGGATTACAGGTGTGAGCTACCGCGCCTGGCGCTCTCTCTCTCTCTCTCTCTCTCTCTCTCTGTGTATATATATATTTTTGTTTGTTTGTTTGTTTGTTTGGAGACAGGGTCTCACTCTGTTGCCCAGGCTGGAGTGCAGTTGTACCATCATGGTTCACTGCAACCTCTGCCTCCTGTGCTCAGGTGATTTTCCCATCTCAGCCTCCCTAGCAGCTGGGACTACAGGCACACACCACCACATCCAGCTAATTTTTTGTATTTTTTGTAGAGACAGGGTTTCACCATGTTGCCCAGGCTGGGATTATTAATTTATTAATGGTAAGAAAAAAAATCAGAATAATAATATGTCATGACACATGAAAAATATATAAAATTTCAGTGCCCATAAATAACATTTCATTGGAACACAGTCACAGTTGCTCATTTACAACTATTTATGGTTGCTTTTTTTTTTTTTGAAGAGACAAGGTCTTGCTCCATCACTCAGGCTGGAGTACAGTGGTGCCATCTTGGCTCACTGCAGCCTCAACTTCCTGGGCTCTAATGATCTTCCCACCTCAGCCTCCCAAGCAGCTAGGATCACATGCACATGCCATCACACCCAGCTAATTTTGTTTTGTTTTTGGTAGTGACAAGGTCTCACTATGATGCCCAGGCTGGTCTTGAACTCCTGGCCTCAAGCAATCCTCCTGCCTTGGCCTCCTAGAATACAGGGATTATAGGCATGAGGCACCATGCCCAGCCTATGGCTGCTTTTGTACTACAACACAAAGTAGTTGTAACCAAGACTGTATGGCCTGCAAAGCCTGAAATATGTACTATTTGGCCCTTAACAGAAGAGGTTTGCTGACCCCTGGGCTAGAATAGAAGCTACCACCATACTAGGAAATGTCAAGAGGCAAGACTAGAGAGGCAAGCAAGAGCCGTACAACTCAGGGCTTCAAATGCCAGGCTTGGGGACATGAATCTTATCTCTTGGGCATTGGGAAGCCATCGAAGACTTCTGAACAGGAGACTAGTACAACCAGATTCACCTTTTAGAAGTGTTCTTTAGGCATGTTTTTGAAGAAGGCAAGAAAGGCAGGGAGATTGCCTAGAGGGCTATTGCAATGATCTAGGCAAGAAGTTTGAGGGCCTGAATTAAGGCAGCGGTGACAGGAACCGGAGGAGGGAAGGAGTAGGATCTCGAACAACAGTCAAGCATCTGGTTTAAGTGATTTGGGGGAGGGCATTGTTGCCCTGAGACAAGATTTACAGAGTTTGAGAGAGAAGATGATGAGTCTGGTTCCGGACAAGCTTTGTCTGAGATCTATACCTGAGATTCAGGTATAGCAACTGGTAAGAAATTTGTCTTTTTTTATTTATTTGTTTGTTTGTTTTTGAGTCTCCCTCTCTCACCCTCAGGCTGGAGTGCAGTAGCACTATCTCAGCTCATTGCCACCTCTGTCTCATGGGCTCAAGTGAGTCTACTACCTCAGGCTCCTGAGTAGCTGGGATTACAGGCATGTGCCACCACGCCTGGCTAATTTTTGTATTTTTAGCAGAGATGGGATTTCCCTATGTTGGCCAGGCTAAGTCTTGAACTCCTGACCTCAGCCTCCCAAAGTGCTGGGATTACAAGCATGAGCCACCATGCCTGGCCAAGAAATTAGATAGAAAGAGTGGGGCCTCGGGGAAGAGCTGGTCTAGAGATACCCACTGAGAACAAATCAGATCCCATCCCAGGGAAAAACTATTGAATGAGAAAAGAGCAGTGGGTTGGGAACGAACTCTCAGCACATAAATACTTGAGTGTTTCAGGGATAGGTGGAGGACAAAGAAACCACTAGGATCTAAGAAAGGAGAAGTAGATGTAAGATAAAAATCTGGTAATAAGGGTATTATGAAATCTCAGGAAGTACTTACAGATATCACATAATATACAATTCACCCAGAAGCCACAGTAGATAAGAGCTGAAAGTGGCCACTCTGGCAATTGTAACCTTGGCAAGAGCAGTTTCAGTGGAGTGGTGACGGCAGAAGCTTGTCTGAAGGGTAAGGAATAAAGAGGCAATAAGAAATATAACTGGCCGGGTGTAGTGGCTCATGCCTATAATCCCAAGACTTTGGCAGATTGAGGTAGGAGGATCACTTCAGCCCAGGAGTTAGAGACCAGCCTGGGACACATAGGGAAACTTCATCTCTACAAAATTTTAAAAATTAGGCCAGGTACGGTGGCTCATGCCTGTAATCCCAGCACTTTGAGAGGCCGAGATGGGCGAATCATGAAGTCAGGAGATCCACAGTGAAACCCCGTCTCTACTGAAAATACAAAAAATTAGCTGGGCATGGTGGCAGACGCCTGTAGTCCCAGATGCTGGGGAGGCTGAGGCAGGAGAATGTCATGAACCCTGGAGGTGGAGCTTGCAGTGAGCAGAGATTGCGCCACTGCACTCCAGCCTGGGCGACAGAGCAAGACTCTGTCTCAAAAAAAAAAAAAATTAGCTGGATGTGGTGGAGTGCACCTGTAGCCCCAGCTACTTGGAAGGCTGAGGTGGAAAGATCACTTGAACCGAGGAGTTCGAGGCTGCAGTGAGCTATGATTGCACCACTGCACTCCAGTCTGGGCAACAGAGTGAGACCCTGTCTCAAAAGAGGACCAAAAAAAGGAAGAACAAAAATGTCTGGTAGCTTTAAGGACAGCAAGTCATGGAGGGAATGGATCTTCTAAAAGAAAAAAATTGGCCGGGCGCAGTGGCTCACACCTGTAATCCCAGTGCTTTGGGAGGCCGTGGCAGGCAGATCACGAGGTCAGGAGTTCGAGACCAGCCTGGCCAGCATGGTGAAACCCTGTCTCTACTAAAAATACAAAAAATTAGCCAGGCATGGTGGCACGTGCCTGTAATCCCAGCTACTCAGGAGGCTGAGGCAGGAGAATTGCTTGAACCTAGGAGGCAGAGCTTGCAGTGAGCCGAGATCACGCCACTGCATTCCAGCCTTGGCGACAGAGTGAGACTCCGTCTCAAAAAAAAAAAAGAGAAAAGAAAACTGAGTGCATAAATAGGCAGAAAGGAAAGAATCCTGTAGAGTCAGAGAGAGGTAATAATAATAATGGATGGCACAAGATCCCACAGGAGAAGAAAG